GGACTTTAGAGCCCCAAGGTTGAGATGAATAGCTTCATTTTGCAAGGTTTCAAATGAATTTAGCTCTTGTCTGTATACAGAGTGAGATGTAGAGCATTGTAGTCAATCACAGTGTATAAATGATATAGAACATTCTACCAAGTCTTGTTAATTCCATGATTGACACCAACAAGGACAGTCATGGGCTTTAATCTCTCCTAGTCTTTCCTCTTGAGATAAAGGTACCCCGGGTCATTAATGGGGACATCAATGTATCTTGGTGTATCTTTCATGTACTTTCTAAAGAACATGATCTCAAGTACATGCCAATTTATATGATAATTGGGTGGTGGAATACCACATGGAATGAGGGCACGAGTTTTCTGTACAAAGCTAAGGAGGACATATTCCTCAGCTCTAGTAGCAAAGGCATCGAGCAGAACTTAAATTCTAGGCTCGAAGGCAGCCTGTAAACATACAGGCTGATCTAAACTGCATCTACACTGCCGACGAAGTGTTTCAGGTGTGGTAAAGCTGTAACCATTTGGCACCCAGACTGGCACCCAAACGACCAGCCTCCCTTGGCACAAGGAGGCAAGTGACTCGACAAACGCATACTGATGCCAGCTCTAGTACTGGTAACCCATCCCATAGTGGTGAGAGTACCAGCAATGTCCCTGACAACACACAACAGGCTGAGACAACACTTGAAGGAAAGTTGGCAGCCTTGCAAGCACAGGTAGCAGAAATGGCGAAAACCATACAGATGCTCCTTCATCTTGTTTTGTGATATATGATCTTGAAGCAAGAGCTTTACACCACATATTAGCCCTTGAAGAAGATCTTCGACAACACGCTAATCCTTTCTTGAAACGTACACATATGGAAAGTTTGTATGTGGATGCAGCAGGTCTACAGAGCCAGATGTGTATGTCTGGCTCAGCTTCTTGCTCCAAACAATCTTGTCAGCTACAGGCGTACCTTTAGGGAAGGCCAAACATGTATACTGGCTCCTTGGTGCTAGTTGAGCTCGTCCATCCTGTTGTTTACCACGCTTTTGTTTCCTTTTTCTTTTGGTTTTTAGTTAGCACCGCCACAAACCCATCACTGTGTTGGGATGATAGTGTCACGGGTCATGTTGTTGGAGAGCCCTGATGGCCCAGTAGCTATCTTCTCCATACTTGGTTCTTCAGGTGACATTCTTTGAAGTAATTTCGCCCGATTCCTGGTTAATACCATTTGATGAGGATTAGCACGACAAATGTCAGAACAGGCAGCATGCCTTTACCAGTCATCAGTGCCAACAGTGAGACAGACCTGCTCTGAGGGGGAGAGCGCTCTGGGTGGCTCCGAATAGGTATGTATGCCAACATGAGGGGCTTGTTTATGAACACTCATCGTCCTGATGTGGTTGTTGCGTTAGAAACAATTTTAGACGACTGGACTCCTGAGAACATTGCTACAATTGAGATGGTTATACCTCATGGATGCACCGAGACAGGTCTCTAGGAGGGGGTGTTGCAGTGTGTATCAGCAAATCTGTGCATGCCCAACCATTGATGTGGTCATCTTGAAATTAGGTTCTTCAAAATTTGAATAAATCTTGGTACATCAGTACACTTATGTGCTATGTACAGACCCCAATGGCAGGGTGATTCTCCAATCAACTTTCTGATGGGCAACCTAGACTCCCTGCTAATGCAGCACAACTGTCAGTTCCTTATAATTGTCAGTGGCTTCAACAAGTATCTCATACAGAGGGATTTTGATTAACTCTTAGCCGTTCTCAATCTAAAAAATTTTGTGAGCTTTCGAGCCCACATATCAGGCTGATATCACTTATCAGACACATATCCTTGATCCTGTCGTAACTGACCTTCCTGCAAGTATAGTTCACTGCAGACCTCTGGGCTATGTTGATTCTTCAGACCACCAGGTTGTCTTTATTACACTGACTATCCCAACAGATCGAGGTGAAGAATCTGAACTACAGTAACTAGTTTTGGAACGGGGGGGAATTGGCCAGCCCTTTCCTCAGAGCGTAAAGCAATTTATTAAAATGACTTGCTCCAGGAGGGGACGTGATCAGCCAAGCAAATGCTTTCACCAGTCTTATACTGGACCTCCTGCACAGGCATAGTCCTCACTAGCAGTACAGTGCCTTAGTGTCCTGGACCAGTCTTGGTTTTGGATATCGCTGCCGGATTGGCAGCCGAGGCCAAAAACAAGGCCTGGAAGAGATTTAAAAGGCATCCCTAGGCTCATAAACTTTCATATTATGTTGTCATATAATTAAAAGTTAAAAAATGGGTTATATCAAGATGGGAATCTGGAACTCTAAGAAAACTTGCATCTGGAAGGGTTGGAGCCAAGGTCTGGTGGTCCCTGGTGAGAGATTGGCAGGGATATTCATCTGAGGACAAAATCCCATTTCTAAACCAGGAGGTTGGAACTGTTGCAACCAGCAATTAGGTGAAGGCTGATGTACTGTCAAACCACTTTGCTGCCAAGATGCAAATCCTTGATCCTGAATGTCAGTCTACACATTTTGGTCCAAACACCAGCTAATTATGTAATCGACAATACTGTATGGTTTTAGAAAAGTCCGATTTGCTGCCGATCTCTTGATAAATCTCTGCACTAAGTGGCTTCCGTCACTAAATGAGTGCAAGCCCAGTTGTGTTGTTGCTCTAGACAAAAGGAGCATTTGATCGAGTCTGGCACTCTACTAGTAGTAAAGCTTCAAGCACTAGGCATCTCGGGTTCCATTTCAGTTAATAAAAGACTGCCTTCAAGAACAGACTAAGAGTAGTCCTTAATGGAGGAGAATCTTAAAGCCTCTCAATTGGTGCCAGCATTCCACAGGGTAGTGTGCTTGGCCCTCTGCTGTGAAATTTCTATTTCAATAATCCTCATCTCATTCCTGAAGCTCAAGCCTATGCTTGAGCTTCAAGCATAAAAATGAAGACCTTAAACATAATACAGGATACAAAACACATTTAAAACCTCCAGGGCAAATCCAAGTCTCTACCAGACATGAGTTATAATTATTTTTTTTCCCAGGTCTGCTCACATCACTACACTATCTGCCACATCCCTCCTCTCGATAACCGAGGCCAGCGAAGCATGTCACTGCTATTTTCTGGCGGGAACCAGGTTTAGTTCCCAAGGGACACGAGGGAATATACTACAATTCCGCCCTCCTTTTTAGTGGAGCCTGCCATGGTGGGGGGCGGCAACAAGTCAAGGTCACAGCCGGCACCTCATCACTTAAAATGAGGTTATGGAATTGCTAACGCTAGCTGTCATCAGGAGGACTGATTCACCACATCAGACGAGACATTAGTGGACACTGGCCTTGCTAGGACACTAGAACACATGTGACAAAGTGTACAGCCAAGAACTGCAGAGTGGATTGGACAACAGCATGAGACCAGAAGACATGGCAGGATGTGCAGAATACCCCTGTTGAAAAGCAGAGGAGCAACAAGTACTCTGAGAGAGAACTCTATCAACATCAGAGGCCCGAGACTGTTCAACACGCTTCCACTACACATAAGGGGCATAACTGGCCGACCCCTCACAGTGTTCAAGAGAGAACTATTAACATCAGAGGCCCGAGACTGTTCAACACGCTTCCATTACACATAAGGGGCATAACTGGCCGACCCCTCACAGTGTTCAAGAGAGAACTGGGTAAGCACTTCCAAAGGATACCTGATCAACCAGGCTGTGACTCATACGTCAGGCTGCGAGCAGCCGCGTCTAATAGCCTGGTTGATCAGTCCGGCAACCAGGAGGCCTGGTCGACGACCGGGCCGTGGGGACGCTAAGCCCCGGAACCACCTCAAGGTAACCTCAAGGTAACAGCTGCCAGGACTACAAAAGGTCTTGGCCACACCTGATATTCCTGATATGCCGAGCAACAAGATTTGAAACTTGGTGACTATGATTTGCAGATGCACACGCAGATGCACGATTTGCATCTTGGGCGTACAGTTATGTGCATGATGGGATAACGAGGAAAGTTAAGGCCTAGTACGATGTAGCAGAGGAAACACCTGTAAGTAGATAGGACCCAAGAGCTGGAGCTGGGACCCCAAGGGTTCTGCCGCCACACCCATCCTGCTTTAACGAACTGGAGCTGTTCACTCATCAAGCAAGACTTCGTCTGGTGTCAACGTCTTGGTACTCCCAGGGAGACCATATTTACGCAGCAGACAGAACATCACCAGCAGATGTACAGCAGGCAACATCATCTTACAAGATGATAGAACTCGGGTACGGTGTATACCAGAGTTTCCCCTGTGACAGGACAGCATGTCAATCATCGCTCTCAACACTGATGTCATCACCTGGTCGATGACCAGGAAGGATGAACAGCAGCACGGATGTATAGCAGATTGACCCTTGATTTATTGATTTCTTGACATCTTGATTTATTTAATATTTTGTGTATGTCTTTAGATAGGGTAGTTACCTATTTTTCGAGGCATACGCTTGTTCCATTGTTGTTGTCTGGGATAAGAAAAACCATGTTCGAGTTCCTCACCAACGATTTTTCTTAAACCGGGACAATGGGGGATATGTAACAAGAGAGCAGTACATAGTAGAACAACATGAACATCGTAACAGCCACATGGGCACGGTGCAAGACTATGGAAAATTCACACCTCTGAAGAAGCTAACCGTGCAACAGGTCAACTCGAGTCAACAGTGATGTGGTCACGAGGTTGTCAGATACGATGCCGTCATTCTAATCCACAGGGATTAACCCTTCCATGTCAAATGCAAGCCGAAGACCTCACGTTCAGCTGGAGAGCAGGAGATCACGTCTAGCACAGAACAAGTTATAAACAATATTCAGGAGTGCAGCTAAGTGGCAGCTTCTTCCAGAGACTTGGGTTTTGATGACAAGTAATTGGAAAGAATGAATAAATTTGTTTACACCAGGAAAATTTATACTGTTGAAGATTATTGGTGGTATAATTAATATCATAAATGTGCAACCAAATCCCAAAAGCTTTGTTATTTTTATTTGATTGTTATTAAATTTTCTCACAATGCACAGCATAAAATGCAATACCAAATTAGCAAATGTTTTTTCTAAATTCCAATTTTTCTCTTAATACAGGATTCAATAGTTCAGATGTTTCAAAACTGGATACATTTTTTAATGATTTAGAATGATTATCAAATTTTATCCAAAAAAATTTGATAAACACAATTTTGCTTTCCAATGATGATAAACAAATGAATTTCAATAACATTTATTACAGATCTTAGTTTGAAATCTTTCAAGTTAAAATAATGTATGTATAAACTTTTAAAACACAGTTAAAACTAAAAAGTACAGTACATTTGAAAATGGTTGCCAAATCAAGGCTGGAAACAACAACTCGGCACGTGTAGGCAGAAAAGACATGATATACCATCGAGCACACTCCTCGGTATGTGACGGCAGGCAAGGCATGATATGCCGTCGGGCACATTCCTCGGCACGTGTAGGCAGGCAAGACATGATATGCCATCAGGCACCCTTCTCAGCCTGCCTACATATTACAACTCAAAACCTACTTTAGTAATACATTTGGCAGCAACAATCATTTCAGTAAAGTTCCATAAACTGCAATAAAATGGCCTATTATATATATACAGTATATACTGACTAAATACTAACTCTCCATTAAAACCTCTGTGGTTTATTGATGGATTTAAGAGGTGTTGAAGACAGTGGAGGAGGAGGAGGAGCCGTTGCCCCAGTAACGTTAAAAGAATTTTCCTTGTCACTTAGCAATTTTGACGTTTCATTAAGGCGACTATTTGATCCGGCCAGTCGAGCCATTTTGTCCTCCAGCCGTCTCGCATTTTTCCGATGTCTCTCAGTTTCCTGACGAAGTTTATGCACCTCCTGTAAAGTAAATACATGGTTTGTTTTACAATATGACAAGCTGGTTAGTGCTTAAAGGAACTTATATTGTGAGATAATAATACTTCCCATTGTTGAGACAAATTTTTGAGTAAATACACCTCGAAACGTAATTCCATAATTTGGCTTATCAAGGTGACATAAGGGAATACAAAGATAACTGAAGAAAAGGAACACATCCATAGAAACATGTCTTGCAAATTCGCAAAATACATGGGATACAGTCCTTGCTTGAGAAAAAAAAATACCATTTATTTTCCCACTTCCCACGGAAGCCTTGGTGGAAAAAACGGGCTCGACCACCTCTGCGCCCGAATTGCAAGGAGCATTTCCCCGAGCCTCATCCCAACCTAAACCCCGCCCTGACTCCGAAACATCCTGACAATTTTTAGCCAGAAACAGGGATGGAGGAGCAGGGCGAACTTGCCCACCTAAGAAGAAATCAGTGGCATGAACAAAACCAAAGGCGAAGCAACCAACACCCCAAATCCCGGGCTCTAAAATCCAAACTGGGCAACCAACCACGTGTGTTGCAAGGAGAAGCGAGTTTGCAATGCTTTCGCAGCCTGAAACCTCCCATCCGCAGACGAGGAATGTGTAAACTGCAGCACAAGCAGAGAACATGTTCTACCACACTCAGGGTCAAAGGTGTTACAAACCCAACAGGCAGCATGGCGGAGGCAGAAAGGGGGTGATCTTCACCCCGAGGCAGAGGGTGACAAACAACCATCAACATTGCACGCAGCGAGAGTGGAATCTAATGGAGCCATAGGCAAACCAGGAGCAGTGATGAGACCTCAGGGGCAACGGAGGAGGAAAGCCAAACAACCTAGGAGAGGTCTAATAAGCTGCTAAGCAGACCTCTTCTACAAAAGCCAGGGCAAAAGCCCATAAAAACAGCCCCAAACAAACTGGCAGTCGGAGAGAAAAGTTGGCTGTCGCTGTTGTGAAGCAGACTGCGCAAGCCACAGTGCACCCCACCCATCTAATAACACTCCCTCACCCAGGGCAAGACGGAAAGCCCAAGACCCTGACATACCACAAGGGCAAAGATCCTATCAAGCAATGAAGCCCCCTAACGGAGTGTCCCCCCCCCAAACACGGAGCACCCTGGCTACCCTTCTCGGGGTGCTCTGTAAGAACAGGTTGTACCAAGAAAACCTGGCCACCACATACACAAACACAGCTGGCACAGCCACACAGAGCAAAATCCAGACAGGAAAGTGAGGCCAGAGATGATGAGTGACCAGCAAGCACAATAGCTGAGAACTGAGCTGGCAAGGAGCCAACTCTCCTGGATGGGCTACCCCTTCCTCCCATGATGGCCCCCTCCCCCATCAATACGCTAGCGAGCAGGAGTACTAGTTGATGGCACGGTTGCCAGTTTCAGTTATTTTCTGTTTAATTTCTTTCTTTTAATAGGAGTTTCTTTACATTTTTGGACTACAGGTCACAGTTTCCTAGATAGTTATTTCAATTTGCTCACTTATCTTTCTGGGGGCCCACCCCAGTTGATAGCAAAATACGGCATACTTTAAATGTAGAGTGGTCGTACGTCACTGCTCTCTGCTCCTCTCTGGGGGAACCAGGTTCTGGCACTGCTTTCCTGTAGGCCTAAAGAACTCCAGTGACTAATGATCCCAAACTAATATAGCACATATCAGTTTGGATGGCTGCAGGGAGACGACGGTGCTCCCTCAGAAAACTACAGTGGTTGGAGCCGTTTTAAGGTAGAACATCAAAAGCATCCCTCTCATCCTGTAACTACACCCAGGTGCTTTCACACATGATAAAACATCATACGACCCTTTAAATAGAATGTCGTCATGTTTCAGGAAAGTATCCCGGGGTAAAATACCAGAGTACTGAAATGTTTCTTAATATTAATTTTTATGCATGTGGAATGATGCAAATTAAGATTGATAAATTTCCATACATACAAAAGCACCTTAAATGTTTCAAATGATACCTCATGACCCCTGACAAAAATTTCCATATCAATGACATTAATTGGTATGCTTTCTATTGAAACATTTTCCTTCCATTGTATTTCTGTAACCCTAAATACTGCATAATTTTCGTACACTGAACTTACTTCTTTAAGCTGGACATTTTCAGTCTTGAGCTTGAGGACATGCTGGATCTTTTGTTTATGATTCTGATGACCTAGAAGAGTTGCGTACTGCTTGCTCAGTTTGTCAACCTCCTCCTTGGCTGCTGAACTACGCTCTAGGAGGTTGGCTTTCTCAATTTCATAAGCATCTAGCTGTTCCTGTAACATTAAAATACAACAAAAGTGTTAAAACCATTAAAATAAACATTAAAGGAATCTCATTGGTGGACATGCAGTAGTTTACTAGGCAGCTAAAGTATCAAGAAATAAATCAGTTACAAAGACATCGCGCAAACTATTTGCCCAGTGGTTGCCAGGAGTTTACCGACCAACAACTAGGCAATTGAACAGAACAAGTTAATTGTTCTTGGTGGCTTCTATGTACATTTCCTGTTATGCTTTCAATTAATTTTCTTTTATTTATTGTGGCTATATATCATTGCATGTTAAGTGCACATATAAATGAATATGTATAACGGAACCTCAGTTTTCGAATGCACCTTTTTGTTTTTCATTTTCCGGTTCTCTAGCTCAATATCTTTGAAAAATGTGACTTGGTACTCGTAGTTTGTCTCAGTGCTCAAGTTTGTTGATATGTACATGTATGCGTCGACGAGCGTGTGGTTCTGTTCTGCTGGATGAGGGGTGGGGCGCGGGACAAGGTGCACACAGTTTACCAGTGTCTCCCGCCAAGTGACGATCGCATTTGAATATTGTATTTGGGAGGACAACAGGATGGATGGGGGAGGAGGTGGGGGGGGGGGGGGGGAGGGGTGGGGGGGGGGGATGGATGGGGGAGGAGGTAGGGGGGGGGGGTGGATGGGGGAGGAGGTAGGGGAGGCCCGGGTGGATTACGGAGGAGGTGAGGGGGGCCGGATGGATGGCGGAGGTTGGGGGGGGGGGGCCGGATGGATGGCGGAGGTTGGGAGGGGGCCGGATGGATGGCACAAGAGGTGTGGGGGGGGGGGGAGCTGGATGGATGGCAGAAGAGGTGGGGGGAGGCAGATGGATGGCAGAAGAGGTGGGGGGGGGGGAGCTGATGGATGGCAGAAGAGGTGGGGAGCCAGATGGATGGCAGAAGAGGTGGAGGGGCCTGGATGGATGGCAGAAGAGGTGGAGGGGCCTGGATGGATGGCAGAAGAGGTGGGGGGGGGGGGCGGATGTATGGTGGAGGTGGGGGGGGGGCGGATGGATGGATGGCGGAGGTTGGGGGGGTGGATGGATGGCGGAGGTGGGGGGGGGGGGCGGATGGATGGCGGAGGTGGTAGGGGGGGGGCTGGATGGATAGCGGAGGAGATGCGGGGGCGGGCGGATAGATGGTGGAGGAGGGACTGGATGGATGGATGGTGGAGGGAGGGCCCTGGATGGATGATGGAGGGGGTGGCCAGCAGTGGTCGGGCAGGTGTTAGTGTGTGCAGGTGAATGGTAGTGAGATGGTTGGCAGAATTGGTCACCCTCCCCACTACTCCACCCCCCCCCCATCCTGCACCCTTCAACCCCCACACCCTTCAACCCCCACACCAGCGAGACCCGACCTAGTCTTCACTCTCAACGACTCCAACATAAGAGGAATAAGTTTTGAGACCCCAGTAGGAATGAGCGACCACAGTGTACTGGTATTTGAGTACCTGATTGAAGAAGGGTTAATGAACTCGAGGAGGGATACTGAAAACAAAAGGTTGGCATACCGAAAGGGAAACTATGAGGAGATAAGAAAATTCCTAACAGATATAGCATGGGAAACAGAGCCCAGGAAAAAGACGTAGTCCATCATGTCTTGGGTCATCACGCAGAAGTGCAAGCAGCAAACAAGTTTGTTCCAGTCCAAAAGGAAAACAGTGAAATGAAGATGAGAAACCCGTGGTTTACTCAGATGTAGGCTAGCTAAGCAACAAAGTAAAAGGGCATAGAGAAACTATAGGAATAACAGGACACTTGAGAGCAGAGAAAGATACCAGAGTGCCAGAAATGAATATGTCAGGATGAGAAGAGAGGCAGAAAGACAATACGAAAATGACATCGCAAGCAAGGCAAAGACTCGGTCTAAATTGCTGCATAGCCACATCAGGAGAAAAACAACGGTAAAGGAACAGGTTATGAAATTAAGGATAGGGGCAGAAGGATTCACTACAAACGACAAGGAAGTGTGTGAGGAACCGAATAAGAAATTCCAGGAGGTCTTCACCTTAGAGCATGGAGAAATTCCAGAGATAAGAGAGGGAATAGTTAACCAGGAACCACTGGAAGAGTTTGAGATTGCCAATGGGGAAGTAAAGAAGTGTTTACTAGAGTTGGATGTGACAAAGGCCATAGGCCCAGATGGACTCTCCCCCTTGGATACTAAAGGAAGGAGCAGAAGAACTGTGCCTGCCACTCTCCATAGTGTATAACAAATCACTGGCAACAGGGAAACTGCCAGAAATTTGGAAAGCAGCTAACATAGTCCCGATATACAAGAAAGGGGATGGACAGGAGGCACTGAACTACAGGCCAGTGTCCCTAACCTGCATACCTTGCAAGCTGATGGGGAAGTTTGTGCGAAGAAAGACGGTGGAACATCTGGAGCGAAAGAACTTTGTAACACAGCATCAACATGGGTTCAGGGATGGCAGGTCCTGCCTCACAGGGTTACTTGAATTCTACGACCAGGCAACAAAAATCAGGCAAGAAAGAGAAGGGTGGGCAGACTGCATATTTTTGGATTGTCAGAAAGCCTATGATACAGTACCACACAAGAGGCTAGTGAAAAAGCTGAAGATGCAGGCTGGAGTGAAAGGGAAGGTACTCCATTGGATAAAGGAGTACCTAAGCAACAGGAGACAACGAGTCAGTGTGAGGGGTGAGGTCTCAGACTGGCGAGATGTTACAAGGGGAGTCCCGCAGGGTTCAGTCCTTGGACCTATACTGTTTCTGATATATGTAAATGATCTCTCAGAGGGTATAGACTCGTTTCTCTCAATGTTTGCTGATGATGCAAAAATTATGAGGAGGATTGAAACAGAGGTTGATAGTAGGAGGCTACAAGATGACATAGACAGACTGAGTGAATGGTCCAACAAATGGCTGTTGAAGTTCAACCCGAGTAAATGCAAAGTAATGAAACTAGGCAGTGGAAACAGGAGGCCAAACACAGGATACAGAATAGGAGATGAAGTACTTAATGAAATGGACAGAGAAAGATCTAGGAGTTTATATCACACGAAACCTGTCTCCTGAAGCCCACATAAAAAAACCAGCGTTGAATGTAATGAAACGCCATTTTCTGGGTGAGACCCGGAGGCTCCCCGGAGCTTTACCGGCTGATATGCTAATGTCAGACTTTGGCATCAGTCATGTGTATGGAGTTCTAGGGCCTACCGGGGACCACGAGCCAGAACCTGGCCCCCTCAGAGAGGCAAGGGGAGCAATGGCCTATAGAAACCCCCGTGTGGTTGGAAGCATTCTATGTCTGCCATCAACCGGGTCAAGCATCCAGAAAGGTAAGCATTCCAAAACAAACCCCTATTCTGGTGAAAATTGCTACCTAAGCCGAACTAGTGAATAGAACTCTTCAACAGAAAACACGGAAACTAGTATGACGTCATACGTCACCGCGCCGCTGTCTGCGCAGCTCCCCCCTCCCCGGGAGGGGGAAGGGGGAGCCCCAGACCTCCCACGCCGGCTATCCACCCATCAGTTCTGAGGCTGGATGTCAAAACACGCGAAAAACGCCGACCGGAGGGAGGGAGGGTTGCCGGGGAGCCTCCGGGTCTCACCCAGAAAATGGCGTTTCATTACATTCAACGCTGGTTTTCTGGGGGGAGCCCCGTCGGCTCCCCGGAGCTAACTACCCACAGAGGAAGGTCAAAGGGACAAAAACCGGGAGGCGGACACCACGCACCCCCCCAAGGAGGCGAGACAACCGGCAGCAAACGCCAACCCAAGGCGCCACAGCCCCGAAAATCCCGGGAACAACACGAGAACCACGAGCAGTAAGGCCCCTGCACGAACACCAAAAATCCATGCCCGAAAGACTGCAAGGCCACGTCGCCCAGACGGCAGCGAGAGCAGCGAAGCCACGAACGCCACAGGCATGAGGGAAGAACACAGGCAGCTTAGCCGCAAGAACACGGCTGACCACCCGGGACACCATCACCCGCGAACCGGGAAGAACAGAACCGGATCAACGCAAAACGCGCTCCGGACCCAAACGCCGTGGCACGCAAACAACAGCAGAGGGCCGCCACTGAACACAAAAACGACACACCCCCGGCCCGACCAACAAAGCACCAACAAACCCTGGACCCCTCCAGAATGCAGCAGCCCCACCCCGCGCCAGAAAAGATGGAGACTGCTGCCATCAAACAACCAAAACGCTAAAACCGAAGGAGCAAGAAAACACAGCGAACCGACCCCCAGAGGCAAAGGCCCAAAGGAAAGAGCCGACGAAAAAACACACCGGAACCGAAGGGGCACTACCAACCGAGGAGAAGACAGAGCACGCTGACCAGAGACCAGGATGGTGCAAGCGGCGCACGAACAGGCCGGAGGTGAAATGACGCACAAGACAGCTGACTAACGGTGCAGAAGCAACACCAAGACCGAAAGCAAGCTGAAGCGGCTCCGCCTGCGCCGCACGAAAAGAGGCGACAGTATGTGGCAAGACGACGGCCCCCAACCCCCACTAGAAAACCAAGCCGAGAGTAAACCAAGCCAACAAGAAGGACCCACCGAAGAAGGGACAGGAAAAGGAAGGACCGCCAAAATACCCCATACTGCCGCCAAGAAAGCACGCAGGTGGGACACCTACCACGAAGCCACCCGACCACCAACCGGAGGCGAGACCACGAGGCAGAACATAAGCAGCCCCGACAAGGCCCCCCCGAGCCCAGGAAAAAGGCGGAGCCGCGAGAAGATCTCGGGCGCGACCACGGAAACCCAGGCGGCACAAGGAGATGGAACGTCTGCCGAACAGAAAAACTCCGAAGCATGCAAGCCCGCCAGGAGTTCAGAAACGACGGGTCCGACGCGAGACATCGCAAGAACCCCCCCAAAAAATAAAACAACAACAACCGGCAGGGCAAGCTAGGAAAACCAAAGAAGGCGGAAGGGTCGCCGCCAGAACAGGACCCGAACCAAGGGGCACGAACAACTGCAACAGACCGAGACAAAGAAGCACA